CACAAGACTTATGTGCGAGTTCGACAAAATCTATGTTAGGAAAGGAGGCCCTGAGCTTTGGTAGTACTTTAGTACGGTATACGCGGGATAATGCCAAGAAACTCAATAGCTACATTTGAGAGCTGAAATAGCTACACCAGCCGAACGAGCTATTCAGTGATATAATAACCGATAGTCAGTCGGTAAAACAATTGAATTAGCTACACCAGCCAAACGAGCTATTCAGTGATAAAATAACCGATAGTCAGTCGGTAAAACAATTGAATTAGCTACACCAGCCAAACGGGCTATTCAGTGATATAATAACCGATAGTCAGTCGGTAAAACAATTGAATTAGCTACACAAGCCAAATGAGCTATTCGGTGTAAGGAATGACGCCATGAGCGGGTGGCGAGCGCATGACGGAAGTGATAAAATAATTTAACTTAAAGGCTATCGGGTAACAGGGTAAACCGGGCAAGCCCGTAAATATATTCTTTATCTACAGAAATAATGTTTGTAATTAAGCGTGGAAATATTGGGTGGGTTGGGAGGGAATTTCGTGTAAGTCGGAGAGGGTTTAGTGGAGAGATTTGTAGGAAGGTCTGGCGTACACGACCTGTCCGGACCGCGTGTTAGCTCAGAGTGACACCACGCGGCACGGAAGTGACAAACACAACCATTTAATTGCGTACCGAACTTGGACTTGAACGTAAACTGACCGCGTGTTAGCTCAGAGTGACACCACGCGGTACGGTCTAATTGGGAACAGCCTCTGTGAAGAGGATCTCAAACAGACCACTCTGTTGTCATGGCAACAGGCGAGACGGGCCACCCTGGTGGGTTGGCTTCCTGCTTTCCCAGCAAAAGCTCCTTTTTGCTTGTGCAAAATGTCTTTTCGCTTCTAAACCCGGAGCTACGAGTGGTAGTCAGTAGTCAGTCCAGAGTCAACGATCAACCGCAGACAATACGAGCTTCCGGAACTCCGGTACAAGACAAACAGATCCCACAGAAATAGGCATGTGGGTAAGAGATAATTTAGTATTTTACATATCACATGTGGAAAGTCGAAATGAGCAAGGATATATAGCAAAATTATGATACAACTCATCAAAGGGTAATTACGCCCTAAAAACTCATGCAATGGTTAACACGAGTTCATAGACAGAAATACGCCTAATCACGTTTCAACTGGCTTAGGAGCGCCCCACGAACAGACTTGTAAATTGTAGGTTGCCAAAATCAGAGAGGTGCAGTCCGTCAGGGGCGAAATAATTTGGGTTCTTCCGCCAGAGGCGCTTGTGTCGCCATACAGAAACCACGGCAGACGAGAGATGCTGGCGGAAATCAGCCAAACGTTCCGGGAAGTTGGGCATGTTGGGCGGATCGGTGTAGCGCCAAATGGGTTCTGCTAGGATGATAGATTTTACAGCTGGGATGCATTGAATAGAGAATGCAAGGTCCGCCAGGTTTTGCGCAATTTGGTGAGGGGAGAGGTCCGCATGACACAAGTCGTTGTGACCCAGTTCAATATACACAATGTCAGAAGAGGGCCTGCAAGGGGGGGGTAGTGATTACGAATTACGCAAATTTTTTGCCGCCTATTACGAATAACGTTAAAGTCTCAGAGCTGATTACGACTTTACGATTTGCGGCTAATGTCCACTTACGAATTACGTTGATTTTTGCGGAGGCTGCCTACGAATTACGAAGTCTAAAACGGCCTGATTACGCCTTACGAGAAAGGGCTTTCAGGCCCTCTCAGAAGGGAAGTCTCTAATGTACGGGAGTAGCCGAGATCTGTATCGCGGGATTGTGCAACCAGGGATGCCGTGGAAGTCAACAGTTACTTCTGACAACCAGAAATCAGGGGCCACCGCTCGGCCGGACTGTGTAGTAGTACGGGTCCGTATAAAGGACTCTAGTCGGCAAACGAAGGAGTGACCCGTGATGAAGGCGTTGTCCATGCTGACAAATAAGTATTACTAGTAGATGACAGACTCACCGCAAGCAAGGACGCAAAAGGTCGGTGAACTCCTGGCCGGAGGCTCTGCACGGGCCGCAGCGTTCTGTCCGGTACGCTCCGGTACGATCAGCCGCAGCAGTTGCGACGCGACTTGGGAAAGGTCCTCCGGAGGGTAGAGCACGGCGTTCGCTGTTCGTGGAAGCAGCGGCGAGAGGGCTCCATGTGGGGCGGCGGGCGCACGGTGTCTCAGTCCGAAGATTCAGAGCGAAGATGAGAAAATTTTGAGAAGAAATATCCAGAGTGTGATCAGACGAGCGAGCTTTCGTGTGATCTACTACGTGTGATCTGGGTTGAATGAATGATTCCCACTGCCCGTATTTGTTTGTTTGTGAGACCATGTCAACTCGGCCAATCAGAGTGCGTTACCTTATCGAGGATGTGTCCCCATATGTGTTAGATTTGGGGCCGGTCACGATTTAGCTGCGTGCACAACTTGTGGCAATCTGGATTGAATTTTGATCTGGGCCACGCACCGCTGAAAACCACATTTCTTCACCAAAAAATAGAAAAAGTTCAAAATGTATGATTTTTGTATGTAATGTGGACACAGAGGTTCCCACATCAGTTTGCAAAACCATTGAGCTGGTAGCATGTTAATAATTTCTAAAAATTAGCAAAAAACTGTTCTGGGGTCCGCGCGGACCCCAGGTGTACAGATTAATCAGTCCGGGAAGGTGTACTGTTGAGGGTTAAATACAAAACAAATTTTGCAATAATGAATATCATTAAAATCAAATATTATACATTAAACATCTAACATAATACATTTAACATCAAATACTGTACAATGCAATATCAAGCTATCTACACATGTAATGCATTATTTCCAAAAATATCAATGATTAACACTATTGTAGTAACACTATTGAGGTCGTAATGCCGTGCAGGAGGCGCACCCACACGACATGGACCATGAGCAAGGAACGTCAGAGCTGTAGTGGGCAGTGAATCTAATGAAAGTGGCTCTATATATAGCTAATGAGAGATTTCTTAAGTGCCAAAATGTTGGACTTTCGAGGAAGCTTAATTCTACTGTTTTCCCCACTAGGTTGGAGGCGAATTCTCGACGTCTGTCCTGCAGAACCACATGAAAGACCAGGGCCGTGTGGCCTGCTGCGGGAGTATCTCAACATACAACAACCCGGAACAAAAAGGTCTGTGTTTTCATGTCTTGTTTGCTTCACATCTGTCACATACCAATATCTGTTCGGAAATGAAAAGTTGATTTTTAGAAAAATTATGTCAATGTTATGCTGCCTTAGGCTTATTAGAGTTCTATTGTTTTTTAAAAACATTTCTGAATTCAGCCACTCAGCATTTTATATATAATAATATATAAGGCCAGTACTTATTCAGCAACTGTACGATGTTTTCGATAACAGGTACACTACTAAATAGTAGAAAACATCTTCATCCTAGAAATGAAGGTTTCCTTTTTTTGCTAAATGTTAAACGGGCATTGTGTACCAGTGTTGCGCCAAAACATGACATATTCTAGCTGTTAATAGAATCAGTCGACAGTTACTACCACTTTTAAACCACTTTTTTGTGCAAACATCTCACATTCTTACATTAAATTTAATGGTTGGTTTCCAACCTACACACTTTATGGCAACACCACAAATACAAGGGTGTATACAAATATAGCTAAAGCTGTCTGTCTAACCTATAGACTTAACTAGCAACGCATCGTAATCCGGCCCATTTAAGGCAATCATTTGAAATGGGACCTAATTGATTGAAGCTACTTTGTAACAAACTAATATTCTGTATCGTTCTATTGTTACAAACACATCTTTAAGTATATTTTAAACCAGGTGTTTTCATCTGTAATTAGGTCAGTATGTTTTTGAGACTGTCGTCTTCAAGAGGTTGAAGCTGCAGGGATTCTTTGGCGCACAGTACGAGAAAGACTGGCCTGAGGCTGCCACACAAGTGGCAAAATGGATTCTGGAGGTGAGCAGTACGGTTGTTTTTTTAAACTAATGTACTCTAAATATGTTGAGCAACAATTGTACATTTATAAAACCATGCGATGCTATAGAAGTAGATTTTGATATAAGCAAAATTCTATATGACTTGTGTAGCTGTAAATATTTATCAGTCCTTATTTGCAAAGGTGGAAACGTACTAAGATAGTTTGTTTGTTTTGTTTCGATGAATATTTGATTTCCAAGAATGGTGATTAGGTGTCCGTTAATAATTTCATCAGGTTGGTAAACGACTGAATAGCAAAGTTCTTTTTATCACAACCATTTATTTTTCAAGCCGACGTTACGATGACCTTCTGTCATCTTCATCAGGGCAATTCTTACTGGTTTACTGTGCACTTACACTAGATATTACATGGTGCATAGTGCACTAAATATTGTATTGTAAACAGAAAAAACTAGCTTAAGTGCACTATGAACTATGTAACACCTTCAGTGCACCATGCACCAACTAACATCTAGCGTCAGTGCACAGTAAACCAGTAAGAATTGCCCTGATGAAGATGACAGAAGGTCATCGAAACGTCGGCTTGAAAAATAAATGGTTGTGATAGAAGTAACTTTGCTATTCGGTGATTAAATGTGTTTATAACACTATAATCTTTGATTTCTTTTTTTAATCCACCAGGGGAAGGTCCAGTACAAAGAGCACGTGACCAGTGGTTTTGAGGAGACGCCCCAGGCTCTGATTGATGTGCTGACCGGCAGGAACACCGGCAAGGCCATTGTAAAAATCTGAAGTGTAACAACACTGTTATATGTTCCCAACAAAATACTCATACAAATTCTAAGTTCCAATACAAACTGTAAGTTCCCATAGAAATTCTAAATACTCATACAAACTCTAAATTCCCATACCAACACTAAGTGCTCCTAGAAGTACCAATAGAAACTCTAAGTACCAATAGAAACTCTAATTACTCATAGAAACTCTAAGTACCAATAGAAAATCTAAGTACTCATAGAAACTCTAAGTACACCCGTAGAAATTTGAAGTACCCTTAGAAACTCGAAGTAGACAAACAAGAAATAAAATTGTACCTGTGGTCTCTCGTAGTATTAAACCTGTGGAAGGAATTGTATGATGTAATTCTATCGGGTAATAACCATGTAACCGAGATACTTAAGAGTAACAATCGGACTCGCATGTCAGCCACCAAAACAATTATACTACGGTATTAACAATAGTATTTTACATCCCTTATCATGAATATGACTAATGGTTACTGTTGCTACTATGAAGTTCTGCCAAGATATTTGTCAGATTGAGTAATTTGATTGCAATAGTTGATTTTACTTGAGGTATTTCGTGACATATTAGGCTAAAACGTTGAATGAAACTTATACATCTATAGTGCTACTGTAATCTGGAGTATTCTTTTCGATTTGTAATTAAAGTAAAGTGGGCTTACAGCTACATACTGAGATAAGGTGACTATTACAACTCTGTACAATACGTGTGTTATACTCACTCCTTTCCAGGACTTCCTTACCTGTTAACTGTGTACTCGTTCGAATAGCCCTCATGCGGCGTACTAGTGTATTGCAGAACACTCTTGCTATGTGCTAGATGACAACAAGACTCACACAGGCCAATCAGGTAAACTACTGGATAACCACGGGTTATTCAGAACAGTTTAAGAACTTACTTGCTATGCTATTTTTTATCTGGTTTCTTAATAACCTTAATATAATTGAAAGACTACAATTGTTGGGGATAAGTGACCATGACATGGTCCTGGTGGATATTAATTTGACACCAAAACGACAGACAAGACGGGCAAAGTAAAAATACCTTGTCATGACGACGGTGGTCTCTGTTAGTATTTTCATCAATCATAGCTTTTTTACTGAAATGTAGTAATGATCATCAAGAATGTTTACTTAGCAATAACTGTTTTGGGGCAGGAATATGCACCAAAAGAAAATCTGCAGTCGTTTGTCCTCCTAAAGGAATGCTTGCTTAGGAATTCTAGTGGGTCAGATACCGGAATGCGACATGGTTTGGGCAGGAATGTTAGGTCCTGTTCAGACGGAATCAGTGAAAGCGCTTTACATATGGTTTCCACCGAGGCCACGTTCAAGTGGCCTGTTGTGTCCCAAACCGTGCCTGTCCCAAATCGTGCCTGGGCGGGCACAGAACGGGACACAGCCTGGCTGTCCAGAACCGTGCCCGGAAGTGCTGTTAATCAGGCACGGTTCGGGTCAAGGCATTCGCGTATCCCGAAATGCTCAGTCTCCAGGCACGGTTCGGGACACGCGCCGAGTGTCCCGAACCGTGCCCAGGCACTTTTTGGGACAAGGCCATCGCGTATCCAGAACTGTGCGCTACCTGAGGCACGGTCCTGGACAAACACTTTGTTTATCTAGAAGTTGATTTGCTCTAGTCTGTCGTGGATACGCATCAGGACTATCCAGGTCCGTGCGTGGGGTTGGTGGATAAGCAGTGTTGTTTCCGATTCCAGGACTGTGTTTGGGTCAATTTACTTTCTTGGGTATACTACGTGCTGTGTTGTTTGAAGAATGGGCCCAGTCTTAGAAACTCATAGAACCTTTTTTTTATTTTGTTGCAGAATGTTATAAGACACTACATGTATGTCTAAATCATCTTAGACCAGTACGAAAAGTAAAATGTACTTTACAGGGCAAGAATTACAAAGATTCCTTTATTCTTAACCCGACGAAAAACAAAGATGGCGGCCGTTAAAACGGTTAAACAACAACACGAGAAGGCTCCTCCCTTAAAACACTAAGCTCCGCCCCCAAAGCACGGAATGGGACACGGCCCTTGTGTGTCCAGAACTGTGCCCGGTCAGGCAGGGTTGGGACAGTCCCCGCGTGTCCCAGAATGTAGATTTGTCCCAGGCACGGTTTGGGACACAACATGGCCCAATCTGAACATTCTAAATGGCAGAGAAAAAGCCTCGATCCCATGGCGATATCTATGGCGGTCTTGCATAGAAACTGCCACCCTTCGTAAGGGTAGGGGGGGGGGGGGGTATATGGATACGCTGGACTTATTAGATATAATTCTTCTACACAAAGATTTTCCAGGTTAACACAGCTTCCTTTCTTGATTTTCTATCGGTATTTTAGTAACATCATCTACCATTGTCTGCATTTGTGAACCAGAGAGAGATGTGGACATTCTTCCTGCACTCATTCTTACTTATGTTGTTTATATACCCAGATCCTGCATAGGCATCCTCCCCCTCGACATTGATTTAACAGCTTGTTAAGAATCTAACCTCACGTACGACTGTAAGGTCATCTCAATATTTACCTGCGTCAACCCCGCCCCTGGTCAACACATTTAACAGATCACGAGGTCATGACCAGTATTGACACGTGGGCAAGCTTAAGGCTCATGTGACGCCATGCTGTTGATTTGTCAATTTGGCTGCGAAAAGCCAGACTTGCCTTCTTTGCCAATAGCTGTGAAATGTGCATGTACACGTTAATAGGTTCAGAAAAAAACCTAAATGGGCTGAGAAAACTGGTCGTCAGATCGCCTGTAGTGCGCAAACGGTTGACTAATTACCATATACCGAACAGCGGCAACTGACACAGTTTAGCCAGTAATTGGGAAAATTTGAAATAAGAGATCTTTTTTTAAGAAAACATAAGAAAGAAAAAAGAAGGTTATAGAAAATGATTACGGTGGCAAGGCAGCATCACATTAATGATTTTAATAGCACTGCTTGGCTGATCGCATACTGCTTAGCCGCCATAGGATCTGCTTTGAGAGCTGTCCGTATAATTATCGAATCTGTTGGTCTTTTTCCCAATAAACTGCATTCATTTCAGTAGAAAGCTATATTTTAGACACGTATCAGTATCTCTGTTGTATAAAAAAATAAAAAACACTAACACATTTGGCTATTCTTGTCGCGCACGGATGAACTTAACACCGGCTCAGAGTTCAAAAGTTCAGTAAGATCACGTCTACATCAGGTGAGCAAGCTTGTATAGAGTCAATACTGTACCCGGGTAACACAATGTCAGTAGGAGCAAGAGGCATTGCAGCTGAGCATAGCTCTTTGAGCTTAAGTTGTTGCACTACCACATTCCCCTGAAATTGCTGTATTTGTGGCCTATTTTGTTCTGTTATTGATAATATTTCCAACAGATTACAATGCTGCATTCTTGATAAGAAAAACCTAATGAGACTAACCTAACCTTTACAAAAAATTAAGAAGGGTGAGTTCTCCACCTTATCATCTCAAACTTCGCAAAGTCAACACTGCTGCCGGTCTCTACCCTCCCGAGGTTATCAAGGTTGGTTGTGTAACACGTACGCGCAACAGGTAACTTATCATCCTTCCTAGGCGACACCGCCTAAATTTTATGGATGACATCCACGCGCGCATTGATTTTCGCCTACCCCCCCCCCC